ACCTGTGCCTTGATTAGTTCTTGCCTTGATTAGAAGCAAAAAGTCTTGCTATGTAAAGGCAATCCCACTTAATTCTCTTTCCCAGTAATAGTTTCTGGGAAAACCAGGAATTTACCAGGAAAAAGGATCAGGAACTAGCATTTATGAAGCATCCCACTAGATACCAACTGCCGTGACAGGTGTTTTCATACCCAGCACTGTATGGAAATTTCAGCACCACTGTGCTAGGCAGGAGTTATCCCCATTACAGAGATGAGGAAAGTGGGCCCCAGCCTCACGTCACACAGTCGGTAGCTGGTGGCTGGTGCAGCAAGGGGCAGAGGCCAATGCCAAGCCCAAGCCTCTCTTCCTCTGAAGTCGGTGTTATTCCATTATTTCTCACTGTTGCCAGGATTTCTTAGGTTAGCAAATTGGGTTTGTCCATGATACTGGTTTATTTCCCCCCAACTTAATATATCTCCATTATTGCTTCCTCTCACTCCTTGCTTTTCTGTTTCTTGAGAACATGGTTGTACCTTGACCTCAGTTGGCTTTAATTGCTTCTTCTGCATCCCATTTTCCCCTCAAAGTTACTGTTCTCCATGGGGGAGTGGGGACTGTGCTAGTTAGGCGGCGCTTGGAGCTGGAGCTGGCTCTGACCTCAGGGGCCCAGGTCTCTGCTCCCTCTGTCTCTCCTGACATCTCACGGGCTGAGTATTAAGTCAGAAAGTTAGAAGCAAGCATTACAATACTAAGCAGCTTTTTTTTTTTTTTTTTGGCAGACAAAAGGATTAATTTTCATTATGTGAAGGCTACTTCACTTTGTGCTGTAATGGCTGTGTTGAGCATGCTATGAACAAACTATAAGTTCTTAGGACAATATTCTTGGAGTAAAAAATACAATTTCAAAACAAAAACAAAAAGACCCATTTCCACTATCTGCCAAATAAAGCTCGGGAGGAGTGTGGCACAAACACTGCAGCTCTCCCCACGTGTTAACCCCTACCTCAGCATTTTATCCTGAGACACACAGCAGCAAAGACTTGCATTTTTCTATTTGTAAAGCTTATCTTCCTCCATACACTTTTTTATTTTTGCCCAGAGGAAGTGAAATTGTCTTTGTTTTCCCTATAAAACAATTTAACTTCAAAACACACACACACACACACACACACACACCTTTCTTAATGCAGCTGAAAATCTGCCCAAGCTCTAGGAAGATGGACTCAAAGTAAATGTGTATTTAAATTACTAGGTGGTCATTCAATAAAAAGATTATTTCTAACCAAATATGTGCATGCACGTATGCCTATATATATATATATATATATATATATATATATATATATATATATGTATCTGGGAGTGTTTTCAAAGAAGGGTTTTCTCCCCATACTTCTGGCAGTTTTTAAGTTTAAAGGTCAGATCTACACCATCACCATGTTTCACAATGCAATCTGTGCAGTGCCGCGTAATGAAATGGTTCAGTAAAGGTGCTCGTGGAAATTCTTTTAATTAGGTCTAAGGCTTTTCAGTTGTCAACATGAATAAACCAAGAGCCATTCTCTTGCAAACACAATACGCAAAATAAAAATGTAAGTTACCTTTGAAAAAACAGAGATGCACTTGCAAAAGGAAAGTTATACATGGATTTTTTCTTCTTTACAACATACCCTCTACCAATTAAAAAAACACACACCAGATCTTTCAACAACAACATGGACAGCAAATCAAAAATAAAGGGGCTGCTCTATTTCTAATGAACTAGGACACCATGCCTGGTTCTAATGAAAAGTGTTTGGAAGAAGACTCAAGTTAATCATAACTAAAACTGTTTATCAAGAGACTAATGGCTTTCTTTGTGAGCAAAGGCCACCTTCCCATTTAACTACAATTAATTCCACAGATCAGTGGTATTTCAGTCAGACATGTGATAGTCCATAATGACTCCTGCAAATTGAATGTTATCTATTAAAAATGCACCAAAATGCACTTTTCCCCTCCGCACCACTATCTGAGGCCCAAAAGCTGAGCATATCACAGCAGGAACATCAAGACTTGCTTTTCAAAGCTGTGTTGACAAAATAAACTACTTGGATTTGGATTTTTTTTTTTTAGCTGTCAGTTCAAAGCTGAATCTAGGGATTGAAATATGCAAAATGAAAACTCTAAGAAAATGGTAAGGTTGTTTGGGGAAGTTGGATTGTATTTGCATTGAGTTCTGATGGAAAAAACAAAACTAAATAAAGGACTCAAATCACCTCCAGTTCAGATTTACAGATACAAGTTGTTCATAAAAGCCAGTTGGCCTGAGAATTGCCATGGAATGGGGGAATCAAATGGAGAAATGGCAGCATGTAATAAGCAGGTGTAATAAATCAATGCATTGACTAATTAACCAATTACTGAATGAATGTGTAGCAAACCCTGAGCATGAGGTACATACAATACCCAACAAATAATATGTTGGTTTACACTGGATTCCAATGGACCTGAGTTCAAATCCTGAGTCAGCTGCTATTAACTGGATGGGGTAAAGTAACTACCATTACTTTTTAAAGGATTGTTATGTAGATTAAATATTAAGCTTTTCGCCAAGGCCAGCGTGGCTTGGTTGGAGTGTTGTTCTATACAAGGAAAGGTTGTGGGGTTCAATTCTCAGTCAGGTCACATACCTACGTTGTGGTATTGATGGTACAGGAAGGCAACCACTCAATTTTTCTCTCTCTCTCTCTCTCTCTCTCCCTTCTACCCTCTCTAAACTCAATAAGCATGTCCTTGGGTGAAGATTTAAAAAATAAGTCAAGCCCAGACAGCATGACTCAGTGGTTGAATATTGACCTATGAACCAGGAGGTCAGGGTTCGATTCCCAGTCAGGGCATATGCCCAGGTTGCGGGCTTGATACCCAGTGTGGGGCATGCAGGAGGCAGCTAATCGAGGATTCTCAATGATCACTGATGTTTCTAGCTCTCTCTTCCTCTTCCTCCCTCTCTGAAATCAATAAAAATATATTTTTAAAAAAGTCAAGATTTCCAATGCACCAAGCACAATGGCTGGCACACAGTTGAAGCCTAATAGGTGGTGCCTATTCTTCCATGCTAGCTCAACTCCAAAGTCAAAACTACCCAAGCCATTATTTTAGCATAAAAAACGAATGATGGGCTCACAATGAACATTTTCTAGGGCATCAATTACTGAAATGTCACTCATTATGCTAAGCCTGGTGGGTTTATTTAGTGACCTGAACTCGGGTGTGTATTTGGGAGTTAATGAAGTGCCTGGTGTTTACACAGATAAAAGCAGGATTTGTCTCAGCAGCAATCTGGGCTGAATGGATATAGATCTCCTAGCTAGGGATACGGCCAGGACGGATCCAGGGTGGATCACATGGATGCAGCCACATGGAGTGAGATATCTCCCAAGGGGATTTGGGCATCTCCACCTCCTCAGGGGAGAAAATACAGGAAGGGGGGTGGGAAGTGTGTATAATAGATGTGTTTCACAGTGTCCCTGCTGTGATGAACAACTTGATCCACTTACAGTTCCAAACACATGATGCATAAAAGAGCTGACAGAAATTCAATTCTTCAAAGAAAAGCATCTGCTCTCTAGTGGGAACGGCCAAATATTAAGCAGTTTTAAGGCAGGGCAAAGACCTAGAGGAGCACACTTCATTATCTGGATAGCCAGAGTAGAGAAATGCAGAGGATTACAAACGAACGAAAAAGTAGCCGAGATTCCACGCATTAATTACCCAGAGTAAAATGATTCAAGTTGAATCTTTGTTACGACAAATATTAAACCCAGCTGTGTTTATGTAGCAGTTGTGAAAAAGAAGAAAAAAAGAAATGCGTGTACAATATCTGTGAGCTCTGCCAGTTAATTGAATTTGCTGGCAGCACTTCCTCTACCACGAGCCAAACATCCTCAAAGATAAAATGTAGCTTTTAAACAGACCTGGGGAAAACGGAATCAAGAAATTTCAACCATTAAAACACAACTCTTTACTGGTATGAAAGTAAAGTAAAATTCAGTAATGAAAGGAAGGAAGTCTCTTAAACATTTACTGCATTCCAAAGCTTGGAGCTGCGGTTTATTGCTGAGGTCTCTTCTGATGTCCCACAGTGCTCCTGCTCCAGCGTCTTTAATGAAGTCCCATAAACTCCCATAAAATACTCGATTGTTGACAAATCATGCACACACACTCAGGGCAAGGCCCACTGGGCCACGATGGTCCTTCCCTTCCTGTCTGAAATTAGTAAGTCATGGGGTGGACACTCCTGGTGAGTGGTCCAACAAGAACAGAGACCTCCAGGCAATCCTTTTAAAGGATGAAGGATGAAAGACTGGACACCTGTAAGAATTCCTTTCAGCAAACTGTCCCCTGACCCCAAGTCCAATATCAGTAGTTTGGGGTGAGGGGCAGCTTTGGCCAGATTCTTGGAAGCAGAGAAGCAACAAGATGTTGGGTCCAACACTCAACCTTCAGTCTGGGACTCAGTGCAGTGCAGATCTTATCCCATCATTCCTTGGCTTAATTATCTTAGTTCAGTGGTTCTCAACCTTGGCTGCACATTAGAATCACCTGGGAATCTTTTTAAAAATCCTGATTTCTGGACCTCATCCTCCAGAAATTCTGTTTCTTTGTTATGGGGTGAGGCCACAATATTAGTAACAAAGAAACAGAATTTCCGGAGGATGAGGCCCAGAAATCAGGATTTTAAAAAGATTCCCAGGTGATTCTAATGTGCAGCCAAGGTTGAGAACCACTGTCTTGGTTGATTCCCCACTGCCCAAAATATGAAGCTCAAATGTGTGTTTTTAACAGAAGGCCACTCCTAATCTGGTCCCTCCTGTCTACTTCTTTGGTTTCACCTTTTGTCCCTCCCAACCACCCACCCTATGTTCCAGCTGGACTAAACGATTAATCCCTGCCCAAACACATCCACTTTTGTTCACACCTCCAGCCTCTATTCGTTCTGTTCCCGCCTCCCAGTATGCTCCTCTCTCCTTTTCCAGGAACAGAGGCTGTTTCCTGCACATCTCCATGTTCCTAAGGCCCAACACACTGAGCCTACAGCCAAAAAACTCTTGGCTGGAAAAATAATCTCCATTCCTGAACTGGCTGTAGATCTGCCCATTTGGGATACTGAACCAGAAGTGTCCGGGGCTCCTGCAGATGGAGGCGAAGCTGCTGGTGTGAAGTGTAAGCGGGTAGGAAAGCAGCAAGAGATGTGCCAGGAGAGGGAGGCAGACTGGATCATAAAGGGCCATATTCTGGAGTTCGAATTTCACCCAGAGGGAGAACAGGGAGCCATTAAATGGTTTAAATAGGGGAGTGATATATGCATGTTCCATAATATTCCTTCATTTATAGCAAGAGAATGGCCTGGGATTGGAGAAGTGGGGGCAAGACTGGCAGTCTGTCCTTCCATTAGCTCTGTGACTCACTGAGAATGAGGTTCATGTCTTAATCATCTCTGCGTGCATGTACCCAGTGCAAAGCACAGCACATAGTAGGTGTTCAGAAAATGGCTGGTTTATTAAATATATTAGACAAAACTGTACATATTTGAAGTATAATGTGGTGATTTGACATAAATGTTATGAAATAATCACAAGTCATTAATTAACATGTCTGTTACTTCAGTTATCTTTTTTTTGTATTATTGACATGGTCACTACGCTATATAGTAGATCCTCAGAACATATTCATGTTATAACTGAAAGCTTGCCCCTTTAACCAACATCTCTACATAGAAAATCCCTGTTGAACAAATAAACATTCTGCCAGCGAACACTAACAATATATGCTTTCACAGGGCACAAGCAGTACTTAAGACTACAAGGCCTATACACACAAAGATTTACCATATTTTTCCATGTATAAGACGCTATTTTTTTCTAAAATCGTTAGACTGAAAATTGAGGTGCATCTTATACACGGAAGTCAGCCGAAGAGGGAGCCACACTGGTGCGTAGCTGCCCATACCTTGTCAAATAGGCTTTCTCCAATCACGAGCCTTATTGTTACTGATGTCAGCTGATGCTGTAATTGGAGGTGGAGGTGGGGAGTGCGCAGATGCAACAGAGACTGGAGCATTTGAGCCCATAAAGATGTCAAAAAAATAAGAAGATAAATACCGGTAAGCGATGGTCTTACTCTGCAAAATTCAAACTGAATGTAATCAGCTATGCAAGAGAGCATGGAAAGAGAGCCGCAGAGAGACAAGTTGGACCTCCCCCCACTGAGTGTATGACCAGACAGTGGAGAAAACAGGAAGAACAACTTCTTACGATGCCAAAAAAGAAGAAGGCCTTCAGAGGAAAACCAGCCACATGGGCAAACTTGGAACAGAGGCTTAAAACTTGGATTATGGAGCAGTGCCAGAGTGGCTTATGTGTGTCAACCAAGCTTATTCATTGTCAGGCAAGAATGTTTGCAAGCGAAATGAACATTGTTGATTTTACAGGAAAGGCAAAATGGTGCTTCAATTTCATGAGGAGAGAAGGACTGGCCATGAGAACACAAACAAAGTTAGCTCAGAAAATGCCACCAGTTTATGAGGATGATCTCACATATACTGAGTGGCCATATTATTATGACCACCTGGCGTTTGTAGGCAAATTAGCTATAATTTTGCGCTGAAGTTGCTAGAGGGCCAGACCATTATAAATAGGGATGCAGGTTATTTACCACGATAGTAGAAGTGATTTTTTTCTGAAGATATGAGTAAACAACACAATTTAACAGCCTTTGAACATGGGAGATACACACACACACACTGAGTGGCCAGATTATTATGACCACCTGACATTTGTAGGCAAATTAGCCGTACACTGCATCGTATGGGATATGGAAGCCGAAGGACAGTTCGAACACCTTTGCTGTCTGCGGTTACCAAGATAAAACGTCTCCGATTCGCAAAGGAACACAAGGATCGGACAGTCAAGCATTGGAAAAAAGTCATGTGGTCCGATGAATCACGTTTCCAGTTGCATCACGCAGATGGCAGAGTGAGAATTTGGCGGAAACAGCATGAAAGCATGCATCCCACATGCATGAGTACAAACCTTCAAGCTGGTGGGCGCAGTGTTATGGTTTGGGGCGTGTTTTCCTGGCATGATTTGGGCCCTTTAATTCGTGTGGAACAACGTCTGAATAGCACAACATACCTGAGTATCGTTGCTGATCAAGTTCATCCTATCATGTTGATGTCATATCCCAATGGAGATGGCTTCTTCCAACAAGATAATGCACCATGCCATGGTGCTCGTATTGTGCAGGAGTAGTTTCAAGAACATGAGGGAGACTTAACCTTGCTTAGGTGGCCCCCACAATCACCAGATCTCAATCCAATTGAGCATTTGTGGGACGAAGTTAAAAGAGCCATCAGGCAGCTGGTTCCACAACCATCAAATCTCACAGAACTGGACAGTGCTATCCATCAGGCATGGTGTCAGATTCCTCGCATCACCTTTCAACATCTCGTGGAGTCAATGCCAAGAAGGCAAAAGGTGGCCCAACAAAATACTGATGGGGTGGTCATAATAATCTGGCCACTCACGTTCAAATATATCCCACGTTCAAAGGCTGTTAAATCATGTTGTTTACCCATATCTTCAGGAAAAAATCACTCCTACTGTCATGGTAAACAACCTGCTTCCCTATTTATAATGGTCTGGCCCTCTAGCAACTTCAGCACAAAATTATAGCTAATTTGCCTACAAACGTCAGGTGGTTATAATAATCTGGCCACTCAGTGTATATAGACAGTGACTCCAAAGACAGCAGTGATACAATAGAAGTTGAAGAAATTGATGTGGGGAAACACGGGACTTGGTTGGAATGTCTGTAAGGAGGATTCTCTGAAAGGTCAGGGGCCTCTGAGGGCACCTTGCTGAAGGCGGCAGCCCCTACCTTGACTTTTCCAAACAAGTCCAGTCCCTTGGGGTGTTTTGCTAGAATATCTATGTTTAGTCTTTTAGACCCGACATTGTAGAAGCATATACTTTCTCAAGAATGCTTACCTCGCTAATTGTATCTAGAGCTTAATTTAGTTCAAGTTGTTATGACAGTAAAAGCGAAAGGAGGCAGGCAAACGGGGCTACTTGGTGGCGATAGCCAAGTAGTGCCTTAGCCCTCTTTCACAGGAACATGTGTTAAAGTAATCATTCATCTGTCGCTAAGGGTCTGCTGCTCAGCCCTGGCAATTGATATGTCTGGAACTAACAGTGATGAAGAAGAAAGCAATGATGCAACAGAGGCTGAATAAACGATATGTTGCATAATATCATAGTAGTGGTATGTAAACATTACCTGCGGTAATTACTAAATAAAAATGTGTTCTGTTTTATGTTTAAAATATTGATTTCTTAATTTTGGGTTGGAAAAGCTGGGAGCATCTCATACATGGGGGCATCTTATACATGGAAAAATATGGCATATTATATAATGTATTCAGTATAATCAAAGTCTGCCCATCTTCCCAGCCAGCATTTTTTTCTTCCTATTGGGATTTTAAGAATGGTTGTTTTTATTTGTTTGTAAAGTTTACTATTAGTTAGACATTTTGCAAAAGGCAGATTGCTTAGGCCAGACAGTGTGTGCCATCTAGCCCTTTACTTCTGGGATCAAAAGCATTGTTGACTCACAAGGACAGCACACCAGCTCCCAGGAGGCCCTGAGGCAGCATCTTGAGAGTGTGGGGTACTCCAGAGGACAGGCAGCAAGCAGACCCTGGGCTTATGTGCACTGGCCCTTTTGAACCAGTTTTGCCTTTGGACTCCCAAAGACATGATATAGCCCAATAATTCCACTAGAACTCTAGTGCTATAACAGAAGGATTTCCCATGTGCTTTGAGAATACAAAGGACAGAGTGATTAATTACTGAGGGAGGGGCAAGGACAAAGACTAGAAGACTGATCAGAGTTGGATAACACTGAAGACAAGGCACGCAATTAGGAAGTCATTGCCAATTCTTCAGTTTCCCAGCAGAGGAGGGAAGTATAGGGTCACATGACTTGCTGGCCCTAACTCAGGAGATCAGAATATCTACACATACACTTCAATGAAAAAAATTAACATTATATAATTAAAATTATTTTTCAAAAGGAAGTGCTAACTTTCGTTTTTACCTTTCATGATGTTTGATTTCTCTTTTTTCTTTTATAGTGTGTGCTTTTTGGTGTCTTATCTAATAACTCTTGCCTCATGAAGGTTTTCTCCGATATTTTCTTCTATTCATTTTATACTTTTTGTTTCTATGTTTAGGACTATAATTTATTTTGAACCAGTATGTGCATGAGGTAAAAGTCAAGATTCATTTTTACCATATGGATATCCAATTGTTCCAGTAGCATTTGTTGGCAAAACACACACACACACAAAACTATCCTTTCTCTATTGAATTACTTTGACTATATATTTGTTGAAAATCAACTGACCATTTATGTGTAGGTCTAATTCTGAACTGTTTTTTCTGTTCTACTGAATGGTATGTCCAGCTACATTTACTATAACTTTATAGTAAGTCTTAAAAGTAGATAATATAAGTCCTGGACCTTTGTTCTGTTTCAACATTGTTTTGGCTATTCTAGATCTTTTGCATAGTCATAGGTATTTTAAAATCAGCTCATCAAGTATTTTTTCCCCCTTCTAAAGCCATCTGGAATTTGGATTGGGATTATAGTGAGTTTATAGATTAATTAAGGAAACATTAACATCTTAAAAATACTGAGTCTTCTAATCCAAAATATGGAATATCTCTCCATTTGTTTAGGTTTTTTCATTTTTTTTTCTCAGAAATGTTTTATAGTTTTCACTATACAAATCTTGCACATATTTTGGTAAATTTATTCCTAATTATTTCATGTTTTGTTTGCTATTTTAAATGGTACTTTAAAATTTTCATTTTCAATTGCTCATTACTAGTATATAAAAATACATTTGAATTTTTGTATACTGACTTTATCCTGCATACTTTCTAAATTCATTTAATAGGATTTTCCAAATATGTGATTATGTTGTCTAAGTAAAGACAAATTTTCTTCCTTTCTAATCTTTAGGGCTTTTATTTTTCTTGTCTTAGTAAACTGATTAGAACCTCCAGTAAAACGCGGAATAGAAATGATAAGAGCAGACATCCTTTTTTTGTTCTCATTCACATGGGGAAAGCATTTAGTCTTTCACCATTAAGTGTGATGTAGATTCTTCCTACATGCTCTTTTTTATTTTAAAATTTTTATTGATTTTTACAGAGAGACAGAGATTTGTTGTTCCACCCATTCATGCACTCATTGGTTGATTTCTGTATGTGTCCTGACCAGGGAT